AAGAGACGTAATCCCCAAAACAGAGCTTCCCACTTGCGCAATACGGAAATATCTGCTAAATGTGCTACTTATCTTTGTCAACCTGGCAACCCTGTGCACACGCTCTCTCTCCACTGTGGATAAACACGCTTGCTCTCTGAAAACAGCGGCTAGCTTGCAGTTCAGCGATCTCCACTTCAATAATCTATTTTCAGAAAAGTGTAATTCATCAACTGTTCATTTACGAGAGAGAGGGAGAGGCTGTGTATATATGAATTACCACCGTTTTGCCGCGTTTCTCTATTAACAGTAAAGCTGTGGCTTTAATTCCTTTAGAAACAATGATGCTACCAGCTCCTTGTTGAGAAAGATAATGTAGCTCTAGAGCGATTAAGCTATTTAGTTGATAAAACTGCGAGGCAGCACTAAAAAGTTTGTTCCTGAATGTCTGAATTCGGCCGCAACGTGATCTGTGTGTGTGACTGCACCAAACTACTTCTGTTTCACGCAAATGCTGGCACAGACGTGCATGTTCGGCTAGAGTCGCTTTGAACTCGTGCATCTTCGGAAGCGGAGCTGCGCGGAAAGTTACAAAAAATGTCATGCACACCGCCACGCGAAACGACGTCGCACGCACTCAAACGTGATACGTATCGTATCGTGGCATCTGTATCGCGATACGTACCATATCGTGACTTTGCTGGTGATACACAGCCCTAGTAGACAGACTGATTCCTGTAGTGACTGAGAGCCCTAGAAGTCTCTTAGAATTACATCATCTGTAATCTGCCAAGGATTACTCGAGACTTCTGTTGTGAGATTAGCTGTTACAGACGGAATGAGGACGTGCTTCTCACACCAGCTCTGATCTGGGATCAGATGTGTCGATATGCATTGCATTTGGTGACAGATCAGCCAGTAAAAGCATGTAAGACAGTGGGTTTTGTTGGCTTAGTTAACATAACATCATATCCTTTTTTGCTCGTGAATGTTCCACCTTTTTCCACTATTTACTTCTATCTCAGCTCATGAGTTTTTGTGATGATGAGACTTAACCGAATTAATATGGATCTATATGCTTATTTGTGTATTTTAGATTTGATCCACAACTGTTTTAATGGCTGCACAATGAAGGCCCAACTTCAGATAACAGGTGAGCTGATAATCTCTATTTTATGTTTTTGCATGTGTTGACTATTTTTGTTTGCACTCATTGCAATGTAGCCCCAATATTTTGTTGTCATGTCATCAGATTAATACTTTTAATAGATCTGTGATTATATTTGTCGTCTTTTATCAGTTCTGTCCGCTAAGCTGCGGGACAATAAGAAGAATTGGTTTGGGCCCAGTCCTTATGTTGAGGTGTGTGTGGATGGCCAGTCCAAGAAGACAGAGAAATGCACCAACACTCACAGTCCCAAATGGAAACAGTCTCTCACTGTGTAAGAATGAAATACATACTAAAATAAGTCATTTTTGAGTTACAGAGCAAATGTAGGATCAATATTTATTATTTTTATATTCTTTCTCGAGACTACAAATTTATGTTATTCTGATAAATACAATATTAAAGTGTAATGATTTGTTAGCTTTTATTTTTATATTTTCAGTTTTGTTTTATATTTTCAGCATTAATAATAATTATGTTTTGTGTTTTTGTCATTTATATTTTTTATATATTTTTTTTAGCTGTATTTTTATTTTATTTTAGTAATTGTAGTATTTCAACTTACATTTAATGCAATATTTCTATTTGTTTTTAATATAATATTTATATTCTATAATATATTTATATTATGTTTTGTTTTGTCATGTATATTATTTTTATAATATTTTTATAGCTTTTTTTTATTTTTAGTAATTTTAGTATTTCAACTTAAATTTGAGGCAAAATGTCACATTTTTTATTAATGTTTTTTAATATTTAGATTTTATTTCAGCTTCATTTAAGTTACGTAAAATGGTCATTTTAACAACGCTGCTCTGTTGATCATATTCCATGTAGGATCGTCACCCCTTTCAGCAAGTTAATTTTCCGGGTTTGGAGTCACCAGACACTTAAATCGGACATTTTGCTTGGCATGGCCGCTCTGGAGGTCAGCAAGACCTTAAAAGCCAACAATATGAAGAGTGAGTTTCCATATTCTCCACTTGTGTGAATCTCATTAATCAGACTCAGTGTATGTTAGAGTGTTTTTGTGGTTTATTGCCTCTTTGTAATAGAGAAAGGCAGGTGAACTGACTCATAGTACCAAACAAAGAGTCTTTTCAGATACTTTGGTCACATGGGAATCATGTGACCATTCGCAGCTAATGTGAATTACAGAACTGCAGATTGAGTGAATACAACCTGAGGGCGTTGAGTAGCCCACAACCAGGTTACCGTTTCCTTTTCCTGTGACCTGAAGTGTCACTGTGTGCTTGTTTACCCAGTGAAGCCAATTTAGATCAGCTTCTATGTCAAGTCACCTTTATTTATAACAATACAGATTATGTCAAAGCAACTGTACAGCATTAATTAGGAAAATAGTGTGTCAATAATGCAAAATGACACTAGTAAACACTCAATTTTCAGTTAAAGGCAGTTCATCATTGAATTTAGTGATGTCATCATCCAGCTCAGTTCAGTTTAAATAGTGTCTGCAATCAAGTCGAGGATATGTGACCCTGGAGCACAAAAGCAGTCTTAAGTCGCTGGGGTATATTTGTAGCAATAGCCAACAATACATTGTATGGGTCAAAATTATAGATTTTTCTGTTATGCCAAAAAATCATTAGGATATTAAGTAAATATCATGTTCCATGAAGATATTTTGTAAATTTCTGTAAATATATTAAAACATAATTTTTGATTAGTAATATGCATTGCTAAGAACTTAATTTGGACAACTTTAAAGGCGATTTTCTCAATATTTTGATTTTTTTGCACCCTCAGATTCCAGATTTTCAAATAGTTGTATCTCGGTCAAATGTTGTCCTATCCTAACAAATTATCCTTCCCTTTCAGGTGATGTATAACTCTCAATTTAAAGAAATTGATCCTTATGACTGGTTTTGTGGTCCAGGGTCACATATATGCTGTATATGACTATGAATATGCTTTAAAAGCTAACATTTATTTAGTCAGCTTTATATTGCTATTCTTGTTAAAAACAAGCTCGCAAGCCATAATGATGTCTGATATGTGAGCAAATCATTCTTGTGAGTCAGTTTTTTCAATAAATCTTTTGAATCAATTCATAACTCAGTAATCTTCTTCAATGTTCTGAAACAAAATGATGTTCAAGAATTCATTGATCAATCAGGATGATGCTTTTACAGGCTATTAATATAACTTTTTCAGTTCTGTAAGCAGTGTTATGTTATGTGTGTCTCAGTCTGTGAGGTGGTGCAGACGCTGCAGTTGAGTTCAGACCGAGAGCGCTCGGAGGTGGTTGGAGATCTCTCAGTGTGTCTGGATGGACTGCAGGTGGATCCCGAGACTTTTGCTTCTGAGGAACAAAAGCACAGTTGAGACCTTCTTTATCCCTACAAAACGCATTCGGCTTGTTTTCAACAACAGCTGAGAGATCTCGATTCTTTGCTGTTTAAAATATAGACTTCCCACTCCTGAATGTGTAATGTTTCTCTTCTGTCACAGATGCTGTTGTAAATGGAGAATCCAGACTGAACGGGGATGTAGCAGGAAGGTAAAATAAAGATTACTATGCTTTACTGTGCTATTTCTGAAAGAATATTACCACATTATGTGCTTATAGCTTTTTTGCCTTTGTTTGAATTCTTGGTGAAATTAGTACTCCAGGGAAATATCTTGACTGCTCGCTCAGTGCACTAAGCGTTTTATGGCTCGTAATACACCATTAATTGATCCATAAAAGTAGAGTGATTTTTTTTATTTCTTCCTCCTCTGGTGTATCTTCTCTTGTATATTCTCATTATTTTGGTTTAAATAAGATGCATAGCTGAATTGTGGAATTTAAAATATATTTGTATTTCAGTTTAATTGTATTATTTCAACTTATTTGTTGCCATATGTTAGAAGTTAAATTGTGGAATATAAAACTTTTGTCATGCACATAAAACAGGAGTGAGCTAGATGTCAAAAAATATATTTCTATTCAGCTTAAATTTATTTTTATTTCGGTTTAATTCTGTTAAATTAGTTTTAAATAAGATGCAAAAAATGATGGTCAGATTATTGAATGTTAGCAGATGAATTATGGAATATAAAACTATATTATGCACATAACACAGGAATGTTCTAGATGTTGAAAAATTATGTATTTTTTTTATATTTCTTTTTAGCTTTTATTTAATTTAATATAATTTCATATTTAGTTTCAGTTATTTTAGTACTTATTTCAGTCAGCTGCCATTATTGAATATTAGCAGATTAGCAGTTAAATTATGCAATATAAAACTTCTGTGCCATGCACATAAAACTAGAGTGTTCTAGATAATGAATGTTAAAGATAATTCTAGATAATGAATGTTAAAAAGGTTATTTATTTTTAATATTTATATTTACTTTCAGTTATTTTGTATTTCAGTTTATTTCAGTTTTAATAACATGTATAACAAATTATGGCCAAATTATTGAACACATAAAACAGGAATATTTTAGATGTTAAGATACTAATTTTAAATAAATAAATATATATATATTAATATTTGTATTTAGCAGTTGAGTTATGCAATAAAGCTTATATGTCATGCAAATTCAACAGGAATGTTCCAGACTTTAAAAAATGTATGTATTTTTTAGCACATTTCCTTTATATTATGACTGATGCCTATTGATGTTAAACAGCTATTGTATAAGTTGAATCTGCTTTATGTATCTGATTCATGCTGAGTAAGCCTCAGTCTTTGCACCTATTGAATGTTGACATTTGTGTCTGTTTGTTGTTGGTCTAGTCGAGATTCTTCCCCATCCAGTGACATCGCTGATGAAGCGGCGCTGCCCAATGGTCATGCAGTGGGAAGTCCGGGGTCTGCCTCTCCATCAGCAGGGGCTCTGAAACCCCCCCGCCCATCTCGACCCCAGCGGCCACATAAACCTACTTCCTCCACAGGTAGGGAACATTATCAAAGGAGTCACATCCTGAATCTTAAAGGGATAGTTCACCCAAAAATGAAAATTTGATGTTTATCTGCTTACCCCCAGGGCATCCAAGATGTAGGTGACTTTGTTTCTTCAGTAGAACACAAACGAAGATTTTTAACTCAAACCGTTGAAGTCTGTCAGTCATGTAATGGAAGTGAATGGAAATCTCGGCTTTGGGAGTCAAAAAAACATACACAAGCAAAACCAAATTAAACCCTGCGGCCTTTAATAGCACTTTGTTTAGATTACGTGGCTCCTTTAAGTTGAAGTTCCCTACCTATTCACTGCATTGTTTTTTTAGCATCCTCTGCAGGCTCGACTCCCACTCACGGCAGCAGCGCTCCCAGCCCGGAAACATCTCCACGGGTGTGTGTGAACGGAGAAACCGAGAGTCAGGGGTCAAGCTCAGGCTCAGGGTCAAATCAGGCTCCCAGGGCCAGTCCAACGCCACCCAGAGCTTCACTGATCAGTAACGGCCTTCTTCCTCCTGGGTACGTCATACAATTACAGTGAATCTTCTAATTTACTAGCTATATGCCATATGGAGCCTTTAATAACAGCAGATGCTCCTGCTGCATGTCAGAATGAATGGATGAAAATAAAGTCATTTTATAATAAGCCTGTATGGATTTAGTCTGATATGGTTTCTTTTTCATTTATTGGTGTGTGTGTGTGTGTGTGTGTGTGTGTGTGTGTGTGGGTGTGTGTGTGTGTGTGTGTGTGTATAGCTGGGAGCAGAGAGTGGATCAGAACGACCGTGTTTACTACGTGGATCACATTGAAAAAAGAACCACATGGGAAAGACCAGAACCACTTCCGCCAGGGTAACCATGCTGTTTTTCAGTTTTACAGATTTGTCACTTTGTTGCTAATAGATATTTAAATTGCATATCGATTACAAAGAGTGAGGCTAAAGTATACTAATTAAATAACCTAAATAAATGCTTTTATGTAAAACATAATATGTCAGTTAAAGCTCACTGTTTTTAGCCATTATGTCACTTTACCTACTGAAATAAGACAAGTTCCCAGACATTCATTTTAAAAGAGCATCTGATGACATAGCATTTAAGCTGACTTTCGATTAGTATATTTTAAGCCAGTTTAGTCATTGTATTTTTATTGACGATTTTTTAAATGGCATGCTTTTGATTGTTTTTATGCTTTCTAAAGATTTTTTTATTTTCTGACCTGTGACCTTTTAGCTTAATTTTATGTATTTGAAAGATAATGTTATATTTAAATAATAATAATATTTATAATAAAATCAATAATAGTAAAAATAATAATAATTATTATTTTGTTTAAAATAATAATAATGATAATAATAATTATTATTGTTATTGTTTTTGTTATCAGCAATCATCATAAAAATTATCATTGTTAATTTTTAAACAATAATATTAATATCAGTGATACATTTATTACAATTTTCTTTTTTTTTCATGTGACCTCTGGCCTTTTAGCTCAATTTTGTATGAAAAATAAATGCTAAAGAGTTATACTTATATTTAAATAAAAACATAATTATTTTTGTTATTGTCATCATCATTCATCATCAGAAATTATCATTGTTAATTTTTTAATAATAATAGTAATAATGATAAAATATTAGGTGTTATTATTATGAGTATTATTATGATCATTTAAAAATGTGTTGTAAGTGTAAAAATTGCCAATGAACAAAACCCAAGGTCAGATGTAAAAGTGTCCTTGATGAGCAGTTGTTTGGAGAACCTTGTGTGTGTTTTGTGGTAGCTGGGAGCGTCGTTTGGACCCGATGGGCCGTGTGTACTATGTGGATCATATAATCCGAACCACCACATGGCAAAGACCTACACTTGAGTCGGTCCGGAACTACGAGGAGTGGCAGAACCAGCGCAGTCAGCTGCAGGGAGCCATGCAACGCTTCAACCAGAGATTCATTTATGGGGTGAGTAAATGCGTAAAAGAGAATGTACAGTCGCCAGTTAGACTCTGATTTGGAATGAAAGGACTTCAGGATTTCCTCTATAACCCGAGCTGTCCTTGCTCTTTCTATCTGCTCATCTCTTCAGCTGCAGGAACAGCTTGCACCTACAGCTAATAAAGAGTTTGACCCTCTGGGTCCTCTGCCGCCGGGATGGGGTGAGTCACTGCTCTTTCATTTTTATGCGGCAGAAAGAGGAAATCACATTTTACCCTCGTAATAGAGCAGCTCACGCTGCCTTTACTGAGTGTGTCTGTTTTTGTTTGGCACACAGAGAAACGGACTGACAGTAATAGGAGGATGTATTTTGTTCACCATCCTACAAGATCCACGCAATGGGAAGACCCTCGAACACAAGGGTGCGACACGATCACAAGCCGACTAATAATTTTATTCATATTCTAGATTTCTTTTAGTTCATATTTCTATTTATTTTTAATTTGTTAATTTTAGTAATTTTATCAATTTTTTTTATTATTATTTTTTTATTTATTTCTGATTTAGTTTTAATTTATTTCCAGTTAGTAATTTTTTGTTACTTGCCAAAGCAGCATTCTCATTTTTGTTCAGTTTTTCATCTAATATTTACAATTTATTTTATTTCTGCTTTAGTTAAAGCTGCAGTCCGTAACTTTTTTTTGGTTAAAAATGATCCGAAATCAATATTTGAGCAAGTACATAACCAGCCAGTGTTCAAAACTAGAATAATTAAATATCATTTTGATGGTGGATTGTAATCCATAAAGGACTATGTGTTTATGAAACACTTGTGAATGAAATTAAATTATATTCCAGTTATAAATGTGCTTCTGATTACAGATAGCCTGGGATTACAAAGATTTGTATTTTAAAGAAAACCAGTTCGAAGGGAGCATAATTTGCTTTTTGGGTTAAAAGAATTTCTTAATATGGAATTCGAAGAGTATGACAATTAGATTAGACTGTGCTGAAATTGAAATCTACACGCTAATACACACTATACTCAGAGTCACCAATGCTGATGTTGTTAATATTAATCATTTGAGAATAAAGTATAACAATAATAATAATTTGAACGGTTTGATGTGATATGAGCTAACCGATCTTTAGATTTAATCACCATTGGTAGCGAGATTAATGGTAATGCTTTTTTCCTCAGTTGGTCAGACCAAACGTGGCAGACTTGCTACTTGTTCAGATGGCAATATACGGTGAAAATTCTTATTTGGGTCATATTCCAAGACGTAGGCTAGAATCTGTGAGTGCAAAGTACAGTAAATATCCACACCGGTGCTGTGACTGACTGCCACACATACTCCTCAAAACATTAGATTCATCCGCGCTGGAGCCGCGACGACTCACAACCCACGCAAGAAAGATAATTCCGCACACAGCTGCAATTCCAGGTTTTCAAACAGAGATGGCGACAAAGAGGCAAAACTTACGGACTGCAGCTTTAATACTTTGAGTTCACTATAATAACCCTAAATTGCCTCCTTGCTATATGATATTATTTCTTGATTATGTTTGACTTAACAGAATGAGCTGACGTGCAGCATTATGGTTTTATTTTAATTGTTTAATGCAATGTTTTTGTGTGTCAGGTTGTTGAATGAGAAGCCTTTGCCGGAGGGTTGGGAGATGAGGTTCACAGTGGACGGTATTCCCTATTTTGTCGATCACAACAGGAAAACGACGACGTACATTGATCCTCGTACAGGAAAATCCTCCCTGTGAGCCTTTTTAATAGTTTAACATATAAAGAGAAGGTATCCTGTGATATGCTCAGAGACAGATGTTCAAAATGCAAGACTTTGACAGGATTGTTCTTGTCTTAGGGTGCAAATATGTTCACATGGAAATAGAAATATGTCACATAAGTCAAATGCTGTTAAATGCAGTTTAATGTTTTTAAATAAAACTGTGTGTGAATGTTTTGGTGTAGTTTTACAGTCTGTTTCTGTCTTTGTGAACCTGCAGTGAGAACGGCCCTCAGATCACATACGTACGAGATTTTAAAGCCAAAATGCACTATTTCCGCTTCTGGTGTCAGGTAGGACCTCGTATAAGTGGCATAAATTAGAAATGCTCATTAAGTTACAGTTTTTAATTGCTTTGACGCTATTTTCATTCATCTTCAGAACTCTACAAAACTGATCAGGCTTTTGTTAAAAACCTGCTATCGTTTTTTCATTAGGCTTGTAAATGTTTAATTTCACAGAGTCAGTGTTTACATTTTCATCGTTTGAAATTTGAATCAACAAAACACAACAGAATGATTGAACAACAGAATAAATTTAGTAATTTTAATGGTTGTTAATTCAACTTTTTGAGCTACTGTCAGTGAAGATTCATGTTTAACATTTACTTTTTTAAATTCATGTATTATAATATAATTAATAAGCATAATAGTTAAGAATAACAGTTTGATAAGTAATACACAATAATTAATAAATATTATTATAATTAATTACTTATAATAATTATACAAAATGAATTGCAAATAATGCTAAAATTGTATTTAGGTGTGATGAAAAAGTGATTTTGTTTTGTCAGTATGCATTAGCATTTGAAAAAATAAATGCATTTAATTGACTTTTTTAGAGATGAGTACCTTAAAGAGTTCTGAAAAGGAATGGCTTATGAAAATAGTACCAAAGCAAACAAAAAAAATATTTTCACGTGATTTAATTTATAATAAAATATGTTTTTGATACCAAAGCAACTAGCAATTCCTCAGCACCTTAAGATCCACGTCAGTCGCAAAACGCTGTTTGAGGACTCCTTTCAGCAGGTGAACGACACTTTTTGTACGTATTTGACAAGTTAATTTACTTGTGTCATTATGTGGCATGCATAAAGAAATGAAATGCTTGTAAATTTATTTGTTTAGATTATGAGTTGCCATCCTCAAGATCTGAGACGGAGACTGTGGATTATTTTCCCGGGGGAGGAGGGCCTTGACTATGGAGGCGTGGCCAGGTATATTGCGTTATTTACAGGAAGTGATGACTTGAGTTGATATATGCACACACACACAATAATGTTGTGTTTCTGTCATAGGGAATGGTTCTTCCTGCTGTCTCACGAGGTCTTGAACCCCATGTACTGTCTGTTCGAGTACGCCGGCAAAGACAACTACTGCCTGCAGATTAACCCCGCCTCCTCCATCAACCCTGACCACCTCAAATACTTCAAGTTCATTGGCCGGTTTATCGCTATGGTACGACTGACCTCTGAAGTATCTTAGTTTGAAATGCATTGAAAGCTTCTGAATATTATTTGTACGTTCTCTCTCACACAGGCTCTGTTTCATGGGAAGTTCATAGACACGGGCTTCTCTTTGCCTTTTTATAAGCGCATCCTGAACAAACCTCTGGCTCTGAAAGACCTGGAGTCCATCGACCCGGAGTTTTACAACTCGCTCATCTGGATCAAGTGAGTGAGAATGAGTTGAATGAGTAACAGAGATAATAGTGAGGGCTTGGGGGTTAAAACTGTGGTCATCCTGGATATGAATTACTAGGAAATTAAGAATCCCAATTGGTCCTAACTACGAAGTGTTTTTCTATAGGGATAATAATATAGAGGAATGTGGCTTGGAGATGTTTTTCTCGGTGGATAAGGAAATTTTGGGAGAAGTCACCACACATGAACTCAAGCCTGATGGAGGAAACATTCAGGTGACAGAGGAAAATAAAGAGGAGTATATCAGGTAAAAAAATCTCACTTATACAGCACAGATAAATTACAGACAATGTTTTTCATTTCAAATAACATTTAGAATTATTATGTCTATAATTATATATCATAAAAAGTGTCCCGCATGACTCCATATCAGTGTTTTATATTTCAAAATATTATATTAGATGTATCATATATACAATATATAGTTATATGAGTAATAATATAACTATTTTAAATATTCTATAATTTTTTTTACATTTACAAAAAAGTTAGCTACTAGGACTGTAAAAATATTTTATGAAAACTCAATGCGAGTTCAAAGTATTGATTATTTGTCTCTTGTGTTACATTTGTGTCTTCAGCATATTTTTAAAAACAATTAGGAATTTTGTACCAAAATAAACAAATTTGCCATATTAGCCATAATGTCAGTGAGTGATTGTGAAATCAAACGTGTTGCAGGTTGGTTGCTGAGTGGAGGTTGTCCAGAGGGGTTGAGGAACAGACTCAGGCGTTTCTCGAGGGCTTTAATGAGGTCTTGCCGCAGCAGTACCTGCAATACTTTGATGCCAAAGAACTGGAGGTACAAACGACACTTCATAATGTTCAAAGGCTTTTTTAATGTCCAAATGTCACAAGACATTTTCAACTGTATTTTGTATCTGCTGTTAATATCAAATGTATATAAAAAAGGCCATAGTTTCTCTAAATGTAAGCGGTGTTTAGTACAGTATGTTCTGAACGTGTAATTGTGCTGTAGGTGATGCTGTGTGGGATGCAGGAGATCGATCTGGTCGACTGGCAGAGGAGCACCATCTACAGACACTACGCTCGCAGCAGCAAACAGATCGGCTGGTTTTGGCAGGTTAGACTAACCAGTAGCTGTTAATCCCACACTTTAGCATCAGACCACTGGTTAAATTAAACCCAGATGTTCATAAATGTGGAGATGCATCGTCTGTTGTCTGTCTGTGTTTAGTTTGTGAAGGAGATCGACAATGAGAAGCGCATGCGTCTGCTGCAGTTTGTGACCGGCACGTGCCGACTTCCTGTCGGGGGATTCGCTGACCTTATGGGTAAGTGTCAAAGTTTAACTGTGTCATGCAAAATCATTGGTAATAAATATTAAAATGACTGTAATGTAGGATCTCTCTGTTCTGATCAGGGTTGTTCAGGCTCGCACCTCCAGAGAACTAAATGCATAAATTACACAAAGGACTTTTTCAAAAACTATGGAACTGTGCAATATTTACATACGTGCAATACATATATACCAGGGCTGTACGTTAACTTTTTTTTCACATAGCACTGGTGCTACAGAGGTTGAAAGTTTTGTAGCACAGGCCAAAAAGTTGTAGCACACGTATAAAACGTCTGTTATCATGTCTGAAAACAAACACAAGTAATGGAGTTCATCACTTAAACAGGCACTAATGTTCCGTACAGAGCACAAAAAATACAAACCATCACAAAAATTGTTTTTGACAGTTTTCTTAATTTGCTAAAAATGGGTAGCACGTGCGACATATATGTCGCACTGTACAGCCCTGTATACACATAGTTTTTTCTGTGGTGTATAGTTTGATGTATTTATAAATCTTTCTTTGTATGTTTTTTTTTACCACAAGGAGTTGCAAATTGAATCTCGTTGTACAAAACGTGCAATGACAATAAAGTATTCAAATTCAGATTATTATAGTTAGCTAAAAACTGAAACCATAAAAAAGCATTTTTGTTACTTGAAATAATAATAAAGTTACATTTCATCTAATTGGCAAGGAAACATTTCTCCTTTTCAATTAAACTCGATTTACTAAAATAACTAAAACTAAAATAAAAATGAATGAAAATATGTAGACATATTTAAAACAAATAAAAAATAAAAATGGCAAAAACACACAACTAAATTACTAAACCCTTAACTAAAAATAAAAATGGAAAAGTTACAAAATAAAAATGTTAAAATATTAATAACTATAATTCTGTCTCTGATACTTAACATGTTTGATGGAAAGTGAATAATTAATTAAATCAAAATTTTTTTTAATTAAATTATTTTAAAATAAAAACAATCGCCATAAAAACTTACTAGAAAAAGATAAAATATTTTGTTTACCTGCATGTCATGTGACCATTAATCAACATCATCCAGCCTTTTGAAATATTAACTTCAAATCTTCAAGTAGATATTTAAAAAATAGATATTCAAAATTCATCTAAATCAAATAGTATCTTCCCTTACCATGTATGAAAGCAAGTAAACACTCACCTCACATCGCTGAATGTCTTCATAGATAGAGCCTATTGGTTAAAACGCAATGCCAGTCCTTTCTATTGCACTTTAAAGAATATGATTGTTTATTGATTTCTGTAGGGAGCAATGGGCCGCAGAAGTTTTGTATTGAGAAAGTGGGGAAAGAAAACTGGCTGCCGAGGAGCCACACATGGTAAGATCAGGAATCATAATGTACACTATACAGTGCTCACTAAAGACCTGTTCACACGACAATGATGAGAAATAAGCTTTTAAATAATGGGTATGGAAGCATATATAAAGCAGATGCAGTGTTAGGCCTGACACGATAACAACTTTTTGTTGTGCGATATATTGCCCCAGAAATAATTGCGATAAGCGATATTATTGTCATTTTAAAGACCATTTTATGCCACTGAATATATAATCATAATGTAACAGCATAATAATGCAAGAAGGCCTACACACTTCCAAATGACAAACTTTTAATTTTTAAGAATATTTAGATCATGGAAATGAAGTATCAAAATATTAGATACCTTAAAAAACCTGAATAAATAGTAAATAAACATTTTCTAACAAAAAGTGCAAAGTAGAAAAAAAGAAAAATGCATAAAGAACTTGAATGGATATCTACAGATTTTCGCTGATCTTCTTTTCTCTGTAAATTAAGGGTGCACACTATTGCTGAAAAACACAATCACTACTCAGCAGTCAGATGTCTGTATGCACAAAGGCACAGATCCCTAAACAAGGCCATATCTTCAGATGAAACTTTTTTTGTAGAAGCATTTATTAAATGTGAACTATCACCTCATGACTACACCACGTTATGTACGAGAAGCTGCAAAAGACACGAGCGCAAGTGGAACGTACAAAACATGGTGACATTAACTTTTAAGTAAATATAATGGGCGATATATTGCGTCACCAAAAATTATTGAGGTCATGCACATATATTGCGCGGCAAGTCGATATATTGATTATTGCGACAGGCCTATGCAGTGTGTTTTGTCAGATGTGTTTGCATCAGTGAACATAAATGACCAGTGTGCAATTCATTCACTTCTGCAGACCTTCTTAAAATTCAAATGAAAATCAAGATGAAATCATTTACTACCTTAAAGCCAAAAATATAACAACACTGCCCAGCATCTGAATGAGATCCTGTATGCTTCTTACTAATTTTGGGTGCTGATTCCAAAAAAAGTGCCTGTTTTGCACAAAATATGTTGAATTTATTTATTTTTGCATTTTTGCTTTTGACAACCATTTGTGCAGTGAAGTCGTCTTGTATTCTCCCTTAATCAGCAGAAAAACACCACAAAGACAAGATTCTTTTCTTCCTCTCAACCAGATTACAACTGCTTGTTCAGTTCAGTTACTCGATGCCTAATTTCTGCTTTTTTTCCCCCCGAAACTTTTGACATTCAACGGCTTTTGCTACTTTGATAAGTGCAATGAAGCTGATACTTGTGTATGATTTGAAAACCTTGATTCTTATTTTGTGAAAAAACTATACATGATGGAAAGTTTTTATTGATACTTTTGAGCTCAGCATCATCAAATTAGGTCCTATTATGCCTTTTTTTGCAGATTTTATTCAATATGCAGGGCTGTGTAATATACATAAACTCAACTTTTACAGCGTTTATTTTATTTTTCACCCCACCAGCTTTAACCGTCTGGATCTGCCGCCCTATAAAAGCTACGAGCAGTTAAAGGAGAAGCTGCTGTTTGCCATCGAGGAAACAGAAGGCTTCGGTCAGGAGTGATGCATGCACACCGCTGCGTCTTTTAAAGCCTTTCCATGAAACACGCATCAAACTGCTTCAGCCTTCTGCTGCTACTTCAAACCGGGAACGAGGGATAAACACTCATTATCTGTTCGCTTAGGCTTCCATTTCTTGTTTGCATACCATCCACTTCTGATTTTACGCTGCCTTAGTCAATGATGGATGCACAGCACTGCAGCCGGACTGAAGATCTGCACACCTCGGCTCACTCTATGCAGACTGTGTGACCCTCGTATTAACCCGTTAATGACTGTAGTAATGCACACGCAACAGACTTTTCCTCTAGAACTTGAAGCTTGAGTTTGCATGGTATGTGTTTAAATGAGTCTCTTCTGTTGTGCGTAAATGTAAAGAGGAGTGCAAGACACAATTTCATACGGTTTTTATTGCCACTGCAGATCTGTACCTTCATACAGATATTAATCATTTGAAGACATTGGTTTTTCCAATTTGAAAAGGGTTGCACTTTATTAGTGAAAACACTGGCAGAGTGATTACGGCTAATATGCAACAGGTCATATTTCACCCTCAGAATCAAGAGAAATTGTTTTGCATGAAGAAAGTTAACCCACTATTAGAAGTTTTTACATTATTGTCATAAAAATGACAAAATCTCATTCTCATTACTGAAAAACAAAACGAAACCATTGGATGTTCTTCATGTTCTTCATGCAAAATATACTTTCTTTTGATTGTGGGTGAACTGTGACCTGGACATGCCTACAATAAGAATATATCTATGCACGTATGGTTGGATAAACATATAGCAATAGCCCAAAATGCCATTTATTCACTTTCTCACCAATCTTGAATTCACAAACTACGTGACTGAAGCTGTAACGTTCGCTGTTTTAGTACGATCAGATCTGCAGCTAGAAATCTTTATCATTTTATACTTTTAATGTGGATTCAAATGAAAGAAAAACTAAAGAAAATGTGCTTTATTTTGAGGGAAAAAAAAGTGTGTGTTTTAGAGATGGTACGGCATTTGGTTGATGCTGAAGATTTAACACTGAACTCGTGGACATTTTGTGTATTTCAGAGATTTTGCTTCTTGTTCAGATGTAAAACAAAAAACCAGGACTGTAAATAAATACCAATAGTTATCAGAGTAGATTTAGATGTAGGATTTGAACACGCAAACCATGCAAAGAGTTTCTTGTGTTCAGTTTAGCACCGATTCTGATTCCGAGAGGATGTGAATGTAAAATGATTCATATGCATTTCTTTCCAAAACATGATTTTGATTCATTCACAAAGGGTCTGTAGAATTGGAGCCCATATAATGTTGAATTGACATCAGCGTCTGTTATTTTCATTAGGATGTCGTGCTACAGTCAGGGCACTTTATTTTAGCTCTAAACGGCAGATTGTTTGATTTAAAGTGAACTGACAAATAAAGGTCACCTCACGTCTGATGTTACATGTTGTTGTCATGTAAAGGCCAGATGGATGGCGTACCTCTTTATTTTCTTACCACTGTAAATCATGCAACAATTCGCCTGTGCTCTATAACATGTTAACATCAATTAGGATGGGTTTCATGACTTGAATTATATTTATTTTTCTTAAGCGAATGTGTACAGTTGGATGATTAATATAAAAATACCGATTTATTCTCAACTGAAGAAATAAAAAAAAATACATTTGAAAATGTGCTTCTTTTATTCTCGTTTATTCTGTACATTTAAGATTAAATGTTTTTTTGATGAAAAGAGTAAATAAAAAAACTTATATTAGATTTCCTGTTTCAGTGCTAAGCTTTTCTTCCGCAGGTTATTATTTAAAACAAAATAAATATATAAAAATGTCTTGTAATGGTTTATAACTCACATACCATTATTATTATTAATATTATTAAGGATATTCAGTGTTCTATTGTAAGCAATTGTCCTTTTGACCAATTAATTCATATTAATATTATTATAAAAAATGTATATTATATTAATTTAAATTCATATGATAAACCTTACTACACTCATATAAAAAAAATAATAAATTAGGCGGTGCATTAAAAACCATGAGAGAACTCTTTAAATAAAATAAATCAAGAACGAATTTTACAAATTATGTATATCATTTTTCAGTTATATTGTTTTTATTTAATTTAATTTATGTCATTTAATTTAATTTTTAATTATTATTTTTTTTTTAAAGACACTTTTTCGTAAAAATTACAAACAGAACCGGAGAGTTTTTTCTTGTTCCGTGTTTCCGGTCGGACTTCTGTCGTGTCGCACTCTTTTCCGCTTCGCCTCCATTAAAGGACTCAGCGACGGTTCGCGGGTCAATTTTTTAAACTTGTTTGGCAGAATCCGACTTTAATCGGAGCCATCCGAACAGCAACCATGGTAAGACTTCATTATTTGACTTATTAGTTCATGATTAGACCATGACTTTGATATTTCTGCTCTTTAGTTGAGTTTTTGAATTAAAACGCTCTACGTTTTCAGTACGTTGTTGATCCGTAGAGCAAACCAGCTTGCGATTTTTAGGAGAAAAGTAGCCCAAAACAAATTAAATGAGGGTTTTAAACGCATTATAAATGGTAGTTTGTTACTGAAACAAGTTTTTTTCTCTAAATCCAGGCTGGAGAATGAATGAGCGCTAATGCAGCATAGAGTTCGATTTAAATAGTTTTATTCTAACGTTACATTAATGTATAAGTCTGAAAGCAACATAATAAAGTATGTTTTGCAGCGCATTCATAAGTCTATTGTTTACGTTATCTACGCTCTGCTAAAGTGAGGAAGAATAAGCGGTTTAATTGTGCAGCGCAATCAGGAAGAGGACTTTTATTTTGTTCGCCGATTATTTCCGTCGTGCTTTTTTTTTTTTTTTTTATACATAGATCTGCATGTTTTAGGTATTTACATTTGAAATGCTTTTTATTTACTTTCGAAATAAACCTCCAAAACACAATGGACAATAAGAGTAATCTGTGCACCTTGATTGAAGTAAACTTCAAAATAAAAGTCCCGATCTGCTTATAATAATTAAAGGAGTAGTTCACTTCCAGAATAGAATAATAATGTCCTGATAATTTACTCACCCCCATGTTATCCAACATGTTCATGTGTTTCTGTCTTAAGTCGCAAAGAAGTTGAGGTTTTTGAGGAAAACATTCCAGGATTTTTCTTGGAGGTGCTTCTGTGACCGTAATGTTGGTTTTAACTCTTTCCTCTTGCTTGTCTTTCAGACGGTTGGTAAGAGCAGTAAGATGTTGCAGCACATCGACTTCCGGATGCGCTGTATCCTGCAGGATGGCCGGATCTTCATCGGCACGTTCAAAGCGTTCGACAAACACATGAACCTGATCCTGTGCGACTGTGACGAGTTCAGAAAGATCAAGTAAGTCCTCGTGAACCTGAAACTCCGGCTGTTATGAACTAGGGCTGAATTAGTCGACAATTGTCGAATAGTCGTTTGATCTCACATGACCTAAAGTAAGAGCCTGCAGTAGCACGGTTTGACCAGTGTGGCGCTGTAGCGCAAGACTAATTAATCTCTCCTGGATGAAAATTCAAGAGAAGACCGACTCCGCAGCCGAATTACAAAATTTTCAACAGCTGTCCAGTGTGGATCTAGCTAATGATAGGATCGTAATATTAGTGAATGCAAAAATAAATAAATACAAATACATAAAAATCATTTCGTTTAAAGTGATAGTTTGGTTTGCATAGATGAAAGCTTGATCTAGCTCAGGACTGTTTTGAGTACTATAACACTAATGGAGCTAATATTGTGAATAAAATAATTTATCGAAAATAAAATGTCTTGGCACTTTTTGTTCGATATGACTTACAAAAGGAGACGTTAAGGCAGATTAATGCATCATTCAGTCAGTCAGTTACTTCATACAGTTAATTAAATGGTGAATGAGAGTCTCTGTAATCTCGTTTTGTGTGCCAAATAATTTATTTGTAAAAAATAATTGTAATTGTACAATAGTAATAATTGTTTGACATTTGACATTCACGTCAAAGCTGATGTGATTACCTTGTTTTATTTATTAGTTCGAATATGTGCAACTCCGTATTTTAAATAATTGTAAAAGCGGAATAATCGAGCAAAGCCTACTGATTCATTGAAATAATCGCTAGATTCATCGAGTGTCAAAGTAATCGTTTGTTGCAGCCCTGTTATGAACCTTCACAAATCAATATTCATTAGGGATGCACAATATTGGATTTTTGCCGATATCCGATATGCCGATATTTTAACTCATTTTGGCCGATACCGATATATTTCCTTTTGTTTGGAAACAACACCAAGTCTCTCCTGTGCAGACATAAGCAAAATATTTTTACTTTTGGTTAGTTTAACGAACTTATTTGTTAGAATTAAATAAACAGCAATGAAGGTTTTTTGACAGTACATTGAAGCTTTGAAAATAACTATAGCCTAAATAAACTATATATCAGGCTGCCGCTGCACGTGCTATTACGGTTTACTCTATCACACACCGAACGCGTCATTCTGTACGTGCTTTCACAGATTAAATGCAGCAATCCAAAACAAAAATTTGGTTCAAGAATGAGCCACACTGCTGACATGATCTAATTGCTACACACCCTGAGCACATGTGAGTTAAGGTATTCCTCTTATCGGCAAGACATATCGGCATAATTTTTCATATCGGGCCAATATTTACATTTAAAGGGGTCATATGATGCTGCTAAACATAAAACCCTGTCTGCATTCTCTCGCTCTCTCTCACGCACTGTCTGTCCCTCTTGTGCACATTTTCGGTCTCTCGCGCATCTCACTCTCTCTCGGACACACTCGGCCTCTCTTGCGAACTGTTGCTCTCTCTCTCTCTGCGATCGCTTCACTTTTGTCCAGCCCGGCGCCTCATAGGTGAAAGCCGATCCGGCGATCCACAGCATATATACATCCAAATACATCCAAGTTGATGTATTTCCTCAGCGACCAGCACAGATCAGCTCTAGGCATGACGAAGCAGATATCGTCCTCTTTGCGGCAGCTGCAACAATACTACAGCGAGAATAAAAGTTACGCCTTCTTTCTTTGTGTGAACATTTGGGCGGCGTTATGCAAATCTTCCCACATAGTGATGTAGACATGTGGGGGCGTGTTAGAACGAGCCGTTTTAGGTAGGCATGGCTGACTCTTAACTTTTATAAAGAATATCTCTTTGGATTTGAGACTTTAGTCTTTGCAACTTTACAGATCTTCTTTATGCACCAAGAGCTTGTAACACTCCAAAGAGAAAGGAACAATTGAAATTGCATCATATGACCCCTTTAAAGCCATTATCGGCCGTTTCCGATATCAGTCCGATAATATCATTCATCCCTAATATTCATCAATCGGTGTCCTTCACAGGCCCAAGAACTCCAAGCAGCCGGAGCGAGAGGAGAAGAGAGTTTTGGGTCTGGTTCTGCTCCGAGGAGAGAATCTGGTTTCTATGACAGTGGAAGGACCCCCTCCTAAAGACGTGAGTCCACATTCGGAGTTGTGTGTTGTTGTTGTAAATGCAGAGAGTGACGTGCTGTATCGGTGTCTGCTCACAGACCGGCATCGCCCGCGTGCCGCTGGCAGGAGTGGCTGGGGGTCCGGGGGTCGGCAGGGCTGCAGGTCGAGGCGTTCCCGCTGGAGCTCCGATGGCACAGGCTCCCGCCGGACTCGCCGGGCCCGTGAGGGGAGTCGGTGGCCCATCACAGCAGGTACAGTCAATTCAGAATTTAAACACTTTCTTTTAGTTGCTGTTATTAATTAAGTAATAAGTAGGGGTCGACTGATGTGTTGTTCAGGGCTGATACGATTATTAGGGGTGGGAATCTTTAGGCACTTCATGATCCGATTCCGATTCTGGGAGTCAAAAACGATTCCAAAAATTCAAAACGATTCTTGATCTACCTTTTTTCCTAATGAATTCTTCT